TGCTCTCCCATATCTGGGGTTTTACATCTTTGGTTCTGGATGGGGTGGCACTTCCCCAGACAGACCCGGTATGCAATCTGGGGATCCTCCTAGACTCACAACTTCTGCTCAAGGAGCAGGTGGCAGCCATGGCTAGGAGGGCCTTTGTTCAACTTTGTGTTGTGCACCAGTTGCACCCTTTTCTGGATCAGGAGGCCCTCTGCGTGGTCACTCATGCCCTGGTAACCTCCCATATGGACTGTTGCAATGCGCTGTATATGGGGCTACTCTTGAAGAGTATTCGAAAGCTAGAGCTGGTGCAGAATGCAGCAACATGGGCAGTTATGGGCGCCTCTAGGGCTGCGCATGTAACGCCTCTGCTGCGCAAGCTGCATTGGGTGCCAGTCTGCTTCTGAGTCCAATTCAAGGTGTTGGTTATGACCTTTAAAGTCCTTCATGGCAATGGGCCCAGGTTACCTGAGGAATCATCTTGTCCCCATTACATCAACCTGACCCACCTGGTCCAGCAGGAAGGGTATGTTATGGACCCCGTCGTTTAGAGAGTTTTGATTGGTGGGGTCCAGGAGGAGAACCTTTTCTGCCGTGACTCCCACCCTCTGGAATAACTTGCTCCCTGAGGTGAGAGAGGCCCCCACTCTGCTGGCCTTCTGAAAGGGCATTAAGGCCTGGCTCTGCCACCTTGCATGGGGACCCAATGGGGGCTCACAGCACTGGGGGTGGCTGATAATCTGAGGATGCTCTCTCTTAGTTTGCATGCATGCATGCATGCATACATACATACATAATGATTTTATAGTTTTTTATCTATAATGTCACCTAGAGTCTCTTGTATAGTGAGATGGGCGGCATATATACATTTGAAAAAAAAGAAAGAAAGAAAGAAAGAGAGAGAGAGAGAGAGAGAGAGAGAGAGAGAGAGGAAAGAAAAAGAAAGAAAGGGAGGGAGGGAGGGAGGATCTGCAGACCACTCGTGAACTGTCTGTCAGTTTTCATGAGTCCACCTTAAGAAAAATACTGAACTACAAGTTTGCCTAGAGAAGTAAGGAGAAGGAAATTACAGCTCTCCATAAAGCAAAATGAAAATTTGCCCAAGGCTACTTGCACAACCTAATGTGCCATTTAAAGAACAATATTCTGAGGCTAGATAAGATGAAAGTGGAACTTTGGGGCATTAATGAGAAACATGTTTGTAAAAAATGAACATTGTAAGAGGATTCCCACACCAACATGATTAGTAAGAGTTGTGTAAACAAAATCTAGTGGCAGACTGGCCTGCCTTCTCCCTGTTACACTGAAAGGGCTGAAGGAAGAAAGCTTTGAACTACCTGTAAACAGGTTTTATATTTGAAAACAAAATTATTTGCCAGAATTCTTGCAGTATCACTGCGACCTTATTCCCTGTAAATCTCATCAACCCAAGCTCAGAGGGAATTGCTCCTTCCCCAGTATTGAATGTTACTAGGAAGATCAGACACGCTGCACCCCAACCATGGAGTAGGGCAGTGGGGATATCGTGGCTTGTGGCTGATTTTCAGCTTCAGGGTTTAGGTGACTTGCAGTTATTGAGGGAACAGTGGAGTCTGGGTTGTACCAGTGGAGTCTATAGGAAAATGTCCAGGATGTCTGTCTGGGAGCTGAAACTTAAATGTGACTCATATAGCAGGGCAATGCTCTTAAGCATGCACAAGTAAATCTAAAACAGAAGAAGCAAATTGAATTGTTAATTTTGAAATGGCTGAGTCAAAGCTCTTACCTTAGTCCAACTGAAATGATGTGGCATGACCTGAAGCAACCCGTTCACATAAAGGCAGCCCCATGAAGCAGTTCCTTAACAAAAGTGGCCCAAAATACCTCCTAGTCAATATGCAGGATTGATCATCAGGTACAGAAAACATTCATTTGAAGTTATTGCTGCTAAAATACTAACTCTAAAGTTTCATGTTTTCCAACAAAATCAGTGAATATTGATTGGTTCAGTGTGTTCAATAAAGACATGACACTCTGAATTGTTTAATAGAATCTTTTTACCTGTTAATAGGGCTTACATGAAGCTTAGACCACACTGTAGGTCACAGAATTGTAGGATTATGGATAGCATTAAATGATTCACAAAGTTTCTCTCGGAAGAGAGAGACAGCTACTATCTCATATATCCCTATCCATTCTTTCACCAGAATTACATAAAAGAAAGAGCAAGCTGAACAGAAAAATAGGCATGGATTTCCCTTCATTGTAATAATCTGGGTTTCTGAGTTAAAAGTGAATGGTGATGAGAGAAACAGAGCTGTATCCTTTTTACAGGGATACCTCTATGCACAAATGCTGTGCTCAGATGGGGAAAGTTATGTTTAAATAGACATAGTGCAAAATATAATTAAATCTAATGTTTGCAAATAAAGATGCCATACAGATATTAACTGGAAAATCTAGGTGGGCTGGCTTCTGAGACCATGCCTTAGAAACGACTCAGGTTTGCAGCTATGAAATGCATGAGAGGGATGTTCAGTGTCTATAGGTCCACCAGGTGGAAACCCAGCTCCTGTTACAGATATCTAAAGCAATCAAAGGCACTTAGAAACTACTTTCTGCGTGATGAAATCACACACAAGTTGTTTGTGTGTGATCTGATCACCATGCAACTGTTAAACATGTCTGATATTCCCTAATCAATATTGTAATGTACAGTATAGCTTGCAATCCTAAAATGTAAGACATTGAAAATTCTAGGGCCTCTAAAGACAGCAGGCCCAATGCCACCATACTGCATTCCTGGAAAAATGCTTGCTTACCTGTAAAATCCACTGACTCAAAGTTTCAGCTATCCCACCCTTTCTCTTTACAAGTATACAACATGCAGTGGATTGCATAGATTGCAATTGTGCACCAACATTGCTTCTAGTAATGCCAAGGAGCTGCCATCATTCTCATTTGTCTTCAGTGGAAGTGTGGAATCAAAATGCATTCTCCCCACAGAAGTAATTCTCACTGAAACCACTCCAGGTCAGGTTCAAATCAAACATACTGGCAGTACTTCAAGCCAGAAAAAAGTGCGCTCATCATGAGGGCCCTGGGCTTAGATGGCTGGATGAGGAGAAAAAGCAAATTCATGAAATATCTATCAGTGGCTATCAGCTGTCATGGTTAAGGGAAATGCCAGTTGCTAGCAGCCAACAAGGGGAGGGGAGCATATGCCTGCTTGTAGGCTTCCCAGAAGTATCTGGCTGACCTACTGAAAACAAGCTTCTGGACTAATGGACCTTGGGTCTAATCCAACAAAGCTCTTACGTTCCTATGAAATCACATTCAATTCATTCCCATCTCCCAACTCTAGTAAAATGTTGATTAATAAGCAGAGCAATCCTACCATATGAACAATTCTGTGGTTGGAATCTCTGAGGAATCCAGAAGCCTACACAGAGAGAGGGCCTTCCTTTTACTTCCCTTTCCTAGGTCTTTTTAAAAAAATATTTAGCTGCTCTTCTCATGCTAGTAGCAAGAGAGGAGAATTACACTATGATGGGCAACTTTTCTCAGGGCTGCATGAACCCCAGGTTCCTCCCTTTTTGCAAACCTCATAGCCAAGTCTGACCACAGTTGCTAAAAATTGGTGCACGGTTCCCAACCATTTGTAGTATAAACCTTACTGTAAGTGTAAAACAGATTTCAAAAAGAAAGAAAATCCCCACTCTTTCTCCAAAGGCCAAGGGAAAAATCTCGGTCATTTTGCATCATCATCCCCACCAACTGCAACTTTCAGGCACTAAAAATATGTAGTGTGCAATTCCCAGGTGTCAAAAAGTTGCCTATTCCTGAACTGCATTATCAGCAGGGGTAGAATAATCCCCCACATAAATAATTTTGGTGTATATTAGAGGCTTGGGAAAGGCTGTACCGCCAGTATCTACCACTATCCTTTCTCTCTCTAAATGTCAGAGCTCCAGAATCAGGATAAATGCTGTAGAAAGTTCCTGCAGAAAGGGAGAAGATGCATCTAAAACTGAATTTCTCCCACACCACAATGGTAGAGCTATGTCTTTTTCTGCTTGAGTGGGAAACATTTTTAAAAATGTAATGACCTCTGACATCTTAAAATTAGTTATCTTAACTACTGTATCTCCAGAAAGAATAATCTCCAGCAAGTCCTGAGACACTCAAAGAAGGGGAAGCTGAAAATTATTTAGACTTAGGACCTAACAAACTGCAGTATTGGACTCTTCTTGCCCTGTGTGCTAGGCAATATATTCATTGAATCAACTTAAGGTCAAAACTTACTGCTCTTTTATGAAAGGCCTTCTCCGTGGTGGCTCCCTCCCCGTGGAACATCATCCCTGTGGAGATAAGACTGGCCTCCACCTTGACACTCTTCCGAAAGGCCCTGAAGACATGATTTTGCCAGCAGGCCTGGGGATCCCAGGTTGATACAGAGCCCATCAAGTGGTTTGTTTGAAGGTATTGTTGTAACCAGGGGGGTGGGGGTGTAGTGGATTTGTATCTGGGGTTTTATTTCTGTAAGCCGCCTGGAGTCACCATGAGTTGGGCGGTCATATAAATTGTTTTAATAAATAAAATAAATAAATAAATAAAGTCAGCCTAATAATAGTATTGGGTTTTGGAACGTTCTTATGGTCAACAAGAGACATATTTGAAGTCCAGTAGTTCAGAATAGGGTTAAATATAATTCAAACTGCATGGAGAATTCAAGAAACTTCTTATGGCTGGTTCCAAAAAATGCAGTATCCCATATTTTTAAAGACAAATCATGTGGCCAGAACATCTTATTTCCCTTTAGGCAAAACCAGCCAGGCATTCTCAGTCATTTTTACATCACTAAGTCTCCAAGACTCTAAGCATTTGAACCTGCCAATACTTCTTTCATTCTGTAACTGTTAAAGATATGATTGCCTTTACACTGAAGTGGGTCATGTAAGAGGTATATAGTCTTCTTCAAGTTTAGCTGAACTCTGATAATGTCACAAACAGGACCATGTAATTTTGCTGTTAGCAATCATTTATTTAGTTAGTTCATGGTTTTGTAACCTACTTCAATCCACAAATTTTGGGCAGCGCACTACATAGTAAAATACAGAATAAAAACAAAATAAAAGACATACGATTACAAAAAAATCCCTACATGGCCACCAGAAACATTCAATTCTTGTTAAACACATGGTAGAATAATGCTTTAAGGTTTATGAAATGTTAAGAGGGAAGGGGCTGCTTGAAGCTATGAAGACAAGGAGTTCCAAAGTACAGAAGCCACAGCTGAAAGGCCTACCATCCGGCCCACATCCCCCTGACCTTACATAGAGTGGGGACACTCAAGCAAGCCTTTTTGCAATGTTCTTATGAGACAGGCAGACAAAAATTTGGCAAATGGTGCCTGATATGAAAATGGTTTGCCACTGCCTTCTTCATGTTTTGTTTTTTAGTCTAAGTACTGGTATATTTCTAGGCTGTCACCCCTCTAAGAATTAACTAGGTCCAACCCTGCTTAACTTCCAAGCCCAGACAAGATTAGCCAGGCACTGCCTTCTACAAGACATATGCAGCCAGGGGGAAAAAAAGGCAATTCAGTGTTTTCATTGTTTTTAAAAATGTTTATTTCTTACATTCAACTGTTTTTCATGACTGTACATTTGTTTCTATTATTCCTATCTATTTTTCATGGGATTTTGTTACTTCTGTATTCATACCATACAACTGGTACCCCAGAAAGTGTGACATCAGACTTAATCCTGTTTTCTGATGAGTTAGCATTGGGGAGAGTGAGTTTCTAATCATTAATAAACATAAGTACTTTTCTTCCCCCTTAATCTGAATCAAAATATATACACATAATCTCTGAGCATCCAGTATAAAACAGTATAATCTAAAATACATCTCAGAAGTGATGCTTGAAGTATCCAGATCACAGTCTTCAATATAAGCAGATTGTGTGGTATAATAAAAGCCTGGCATCTTTTCTCCTAGGCACTAGTATTGATTCTAAAAAAAAAAAAAATGCACAGTAGAGGGCCATTAAGTCTATTGTAGCCATATCTATCTGAAATGCAGTAATTTGTAATATTTAGTTTATTCAAGTGTTACATAAAGAGCCTTAGTTATTAGAAATCCTACACAAAAATGTAATAGTTCTAAAAGCATTATTACACAAAACCTCCTAGGGCTTAATTTAAACCCTAATCCCAGTTTATGCTAAATAATTAAACAAATAACTGCAGACTAAGTATTGATTCATATGAACATTTCAGTGTATGGCAGCCAGAGAAAAGTTAATGCTGCAGTCCATAAGGTATAGTTAGTGCAGCTTTTATTGGGCCAATTGTAAATACACAGTGGCATGGCAAAGACTATGTGCAATCAGTAGCATCATGGTCACCCAGTCATCTGAAAAGTGTGTAATAATAAATTTAAAATCTTGGCATGGCTTAAAAAGCTGAATTCCTCATCACTTATTAGCTTACCACTTTGGCTGTTTTTTGCTGAAATTATTATGGCACATGAATGAGCCCTTAAGAGATATTCAAATGTAAATGTGCTCTTAATACAAAAGCATTATTAATATCATAATACAAATAACAGGGCCATCTATTAGGAATACCCACCATATTATATAATTTCTGATACTTTTAACACAAGAGATCAATCAACCAACCAACCAGTCTATATATTATAATTAAATTGGAATGTTTTCCCAAGATTCTATATTCTACAAATTGTAAAGAACCAAAATCTACTGGAATGGAGCTTGGGAAAGTTAAGGTAACTAGGCTTAAAGACACAAGGAGCTATTTGAGACTTCAGAAGTCCAATCCAGCTGTTATAGGATCTTCTGCTTTTCTCTAAAGTTGGGCATATATAACCAAACTTTCTACTGAAGCAATAAAAAGAAGCTTAATTTATAATGGCAGCAGATTTAAGAAAGTGTAAGATGAAGAGTTGTGTCCATTGTTGCCTCTATTTAGCAGAAAATTTTGTATTTTTACACAAGTAATTACATCTAATTTTTGCACATTTCCAGCCTACTCTGAGCTGTTATTTCTTAATGCTACAAAAGTCATCCAACCAGAGAAAAGCTGTCTTTCAAGGAATATAGGAGGCTGCAATTAGGGGGAAGGACAGGAAAAAAAAAGTTGTTCTGACTACCATGAGAATAAGCAATGAATACAAGCCAAATACATTGGTAATTTGATATGACTATAGAGTATAAGGTGCCTGCAAGAAAGGTTTTCCTAAAGGAGACCAAAATCCTGAACAATATTCACCTTTTTGGTTAATTCATCACGAGTTGTGAAATGTGGCACATCTTCAACTTCAATTCCATTAGCCATTTCTGTCACCTTCTCCAATAGATCTTTGCTATAGCTGTATAACAAAAATGAAAGTTTACAGGGTATCTAACATTCTCCTACACGCGTTCTCACATTTGCTATCAATAAAGTCTAGTTCTTTCAATTTTATAAATTGCATCCATAAAGTAAGACAATAACGTCTGAAGAAAACAAGAGAAAAATTGGGGTGCTTTAGGCCAACTTAATTATAAAAAGTTAGGAACAAAACTCAGCAAAAATAGGCTAAATACCTTGGACTGAGGTATCAAGTGTCTAAAGACAAATAAAAAAATCTGTACTTTGTTTCTAATCATAAAACATAAATAAAATGTGGAAAACAAAGGTGTATCAAGTACTACAGCTAACATCACAAGCTCATAAACTTTTCAGAATATTGTTTTTAAAACAGACTTTAAAAATCTATTTATGTAAAAAAGGCAGATGAAAAAGCCAGCAAGGGGAACTGCTGTCAACATTTTCCCCACCTGCTTCTAGTTCCTCTGAACAAACTGACCTGCAAATAGAAAAAGAAGTGGTAAAATGCCATCATCGTCACCTTTTAAATTAGTCTACTGTTTTAATAGCATACTATTACTCTTATTGACCTTATGTAAGTCACCCCAAGACACTTGCTGGCTGAAGAATGAGAACAAAATGCTTAAAATAAGCGACTTGCGTATCTTGATATAGTGTCCTCCCATTTTTGTATAACAGTATGAAGATTCCTTTATTTGGCACAGGCTGAAAGCACAGTCCATTATTCTAATGCCAGGAAATATAACTTACATGGAACAGTCTCTGACGGTTTCCTTTATCAGAGACAGTTAATCATCCTTGAATGACAGGAAGTGTGCACAATCGTTGGACAGGGATATGTACATGCAGCACCTGAACATCTGCCTGCATTCAGAGCAAAGAACTTCAAGAAAGCCTGCCACGCTGGCCTCTAACAATTTTGTTTCAACGTCCACATACATAACCATCTTTTTTTCCTCTAGAAAGAAAACCGTATGTTTGTGGGGTGAGTGTATTTTATGTCTGAATATGTGTATTTCCCTTTAACGGCTACCTGTCCTGGTAGGAAACAAGTGACACTGCTCCTCAACCTGCAAATATAGAGGGGGACGCTTCTCCTGCTATGACGTAATCCCTAAAAAAAGATGGGCGGAAAGAAAATACCGGGCAATCCCGGCGCATGCGTTGAATGAGAAAACGGCTGGCCTCCTACTCCTCGCTACGCCACGGCCGTCTCCCAGGGCATTGGACGACAGCTCCCATCCTTCCCAGCCAGGCGCCACGCTCCCATCCTTCCCAGCCAGGCGCCACGCAGCCAGGAGCTGCAGCCCAAGGCATCCGGAGGAGGCTGTGCAAGCGAAGGACGAGGAGGCGGTACCTGCATCCCAGGAAGAGGTGATTGGCCCAAACCATGGAGAGGGAGAGCAGCTGGTCCAGGCACAGCGGAGGGAGCGCCTCTCCGCCCCCCAGTGGGGTATTGCGCAGGATGAAGGCGCGCCGCGCCTGCCAGTGTTTTTCGTTCTCCGAGTAGGACCGGAACTGTTCGGGAAATTCGGGCTCGGTCCCGACCACGTTGTCCCCTCTTACCATCTTTCCCTCCTCCGGACCGCCTGCCGGGAATCGGAACTGACGCCTTTAACGGAGTCGCCGTTAGGAGAGAAGGCACCAGGTCGGCGTTGCCGCTCTGGCCGCGAATCTCTACTGCTCTTACTCCGGCCTCGGGGCCTTAATTTCACGGGGCTGGCCTACTCGACTGATCAGTGATGCGCATGCGTGGAGAGGCCGTATGGCGTCGCCTCGGATTTTGTGATCGCGGGGGTGCCTTTACGGAGTGTCGGGTTCCGCCAAGGATGTTCTGCTATCGCAATTAGGGCTCCCAGGTCTAGGCATCTAAAATCCAGACGACCACTAGATGGCAGCAAAGAACCCTGGGGGTTGTACCTCTGCGTTGCCACCTACTGGCCGTCTGGAGCTTTGCAGGCCAGGTCTGGCAAGTTATCCCAAAGAAGTGCCCTCGTATATCTCCTCCTCCAGTGCCTGACTTACTGCTCTCAATGTGAAACTACCTCATTAATTCATCTGCCTAATGTTAATACAGCCCAGTCACTTCCAGCTGCCCTGACGGGGGTGCTCCCATAACTGCTCAAGATACCGCCTGGGCAGCCTGTTTTCTGCCCTTACACTGAACCACAAAAAGCAGGCTTGACAGAGGCCATTTCCCAACTAGTAATTATTTACTAGTTAATTAATTAATTACTTCGGACACATTATGCGAAGACCTAGCTCTCTGCAGAAGATTCTAATGCTGGGAAAGGTGGAAGAAAAGGACAACCAGCAGCAAGGTGGACAGACTCGGTTACAGTGGCGATGGGAGTGCTGTTGGAAGACCTAAAGACCAGGTTAGGGACAGATCGTCTTGGAGAATATATATGTGGTCTCTAAGAGTCAGCAATCACTTGATGGCATTCAATCAGTCAATCAATTACAACTATTACACAGTACTGTACTATAGCATCACCCAGCCATCACAGATGATAGACCTGTCCTCATTACCTTTTAAAAGCACACAACAATGGTGGAATAACACAAAACAGAGGCTTGATCCGATGGTATTTCTGGCAGGAAGGGGCCTGGCTCTGGCATCTGCTCTAATATTGCCCAAATGCCTCCCTGAAGCCCACCTCTGCAACACAATGCCAGCTCTGCTCTGTTCCTTATCAGACAGTAAGGAAAGCAAAAAGATTTTTTTTTTTTGGTAGATCTGTATGCTGTTTTAGTTAAGTTTGGGATTTAAGTTGATTGTTTAAAACTGGGCTATAAGTATAAGAACTTGATACTGAATTTTATGTTTTATATTCCTTTAAATTGTAAGTGAAACTGCATCCTTGAATATTGGCTAAGAAAGCAATTAAATAAGTAATACATATTTGACTCTACTACCTTCCCAGGCCTTTTAAGGTAAATAAATGAGTTTCTCCACTTTCTGTAAAGCATTAGATCCTATGGTGAAGTTTTGATTGAATTCAGTGAGTCTTCTGAACACATTACACAAAATTCTTGATGCAGAAAGTGGATCCTAACTAGCAAAAAGTATTAAGGTTCACTTCTTGTTTGCAGTGTATAAGAATGTCAGTTTAGTTTACTTCAGCATACTTCAGTATTAGATGATTGATCCACAGCTTAAAATTAAGTGCAAGATACAGTGGCACATTCTTATGTCACTACTATGCTGTTTCCTCAGAGGCAACTTCCCTGGAATTCAGTGGCCTTACTCAATTCAATCAATATATGATTATAAGGTTTCTAAGTCACACAGAGATATGACACTATGTCCAATAAAAAGTTATTCATGCCTATGTATGTTTATTCAGAAGTGTGAAATGTATGGCAGTCATTTATCATCCAGTTCACATTTTTGTAAACAGTGTTCAAAATATGAACTTTACTGATTTTCAGATTGCCCTAATTATTCTTAGGCTCCTGCACATATAAAATCTATTTTAATGTGGTGCAAAGCCTAAATCCCTAAAACTAAACCAAACCAGAATCTGTTCAGTATTCTCCTCCTGTACAAGTAATAATATGTCCAGATAAAAATAACTCTTTGTTGATTTCTACAATCATTCCACTACCCCTAAACCTCCAAGGCCTAATTTAACAGAAATATGTGAGAAGAGAAGAAGACCCTTGAGGCCACTATAAGCTTGCACCATGTTCCACAGTGTAATTAGCTCAGCAAAGTCAATAGATGTTCTTATAACACATATCGGCTTGTACATCAAGGAACAACTCAAGAAAGAACTTCAGTACTTCCTGATTCTCCCATGAGTTCTTTAACTGTCCACTGCCATTAGGAGAAGCTGCTCCATTTGTTGGTCTTATCAGACTGAATGCATACTATTCTGAAGCACTCTCCATCAGTAACACCTCCGTTCCTATTCTGCAAGTTGACACTATCTGAATCAAACCAACTCATACTGGTTTATAAGCAGATAAATTAATAAATACATTTATCTAGTGAATTTCTAAATACTTTCTACACCTTCTCTGTGCTATTTTATATATGCCCTCTTCTCCCTTCATACCAAAGCTCTTCAAGTCTTGCTATCTCTCCCTCTTTTGCTAATTATATTTACTACATAGAAGTAAGTCTCATTCAATTGACTTCCCAACCTGGCATCCTTTATGTGATAAGCCACAATGACCATCAGGTGAGTGGAGTTAAAAGGAAGCATCTAGAGATTAAGAGATGTTACATTAAATTAAAGGTGACTTACTTTGAATAAACAGGTATAGGATTGCATTGTTAAGGCTGAAAGCATGAAGAGTATTTACTAGGATGTTATTCCCATAGAATTCAGTTTATTTATGAATAAACAGTTGCACATACATCAGTAGCTTGCTGTGAGTGTTGCTTTTCAGATCAGCTGGGGCTAGACTACCCTTTCATATAAATTGGTCCAGATTATTGCTTTCCTGTTGTCTCTGCTCATTAAAAATAAATTGTTACACAGCACGTAGATACAAGTTAGCAATGCCTGGAGTGGAATTTTTATGGTATTTGACAGATGCAGAGGGTTCAGCAGTCTTCTATACTTTGGATGCTGCTTTGCAACCCAAGCACAATTCTGCAGGCATTCTTCAGAGATCTGGAAAGAAACAGCATGCTGGCTGGGGAGTTCCTGAACTTGAAGTTAACACATCTTAAATTTGCCACAGTTGAGAAACACTGGCCTAGAGGATTCATCTTTAAGTGTCATGCCATCTAAGCAAGTGGGATGGGAAGTGGAAATGGGGATGACTTTCTAGAATTCGGCTCCATTTAAAAGCAGCAGCTCCATAGCTTCATAGCTCCATCTTTGAATGTCAAATTACCCTACTGTCTTCTTTATGGGCCACTTTTATTATTTCAGGGCTGACTGTCAGAAATGCTGTTCTTGAGTAAGTGAGGGTATCATCTTTTTCATCATCTTTTCACCCAGTGTGCATTTTAAAGCTGATGTGAAATATTGTCATTGTTTGAAGGCAGTTCTCATTTATTACAGATTGGTATAAGGCTGAAATGATACACATGCTCACTTGGGAGTGATCTCCATCAAAATCAGTGGGACTTCCTTCTGTTTAAATGGCTAAGTGGACATAAAAATAAGATACACATAAAAATAAGATCCTTTTTAGGATACCCCCCCCCAAATTATTCCAAATTATTCAGGTAAATAGGATTCCCTAAGCTTTTCAGCCAAGAGTTCAGCTGTACTGAGCAAGCAAAGGCATCATATTATTCAGGGATTTGTTTTTACAATTTGGAGAAACTGTAATTCTCATTCATCTCTACTGGACAGACAAAACGTACAAAGTAGGATGTCTTGTTTTCCACCCGTAAGCCAGCATTCCCCAATCCAGATGTAGACTACTGATGATGAGAGCTTTTTAATGCATCACATCTGGAGACTATCAGGTTGGGGAAGGCTGCAGTAGGAGATCACCACTCACTGTCTGGAAAAAGCACTGCATGTTTATCTCTAGTTCTTTCCGTCCCTCCATCCCCTCTTCTGTCTTGTTTTGTTTTGTTTTGCTAAAGGTGCACTCTGGCCTCTTCAAACAGGTTGCTGTTCAGCCTGAAAAGCGCTGTCAGTTTTGACATGTATTTGAGATAATATATATGTTTGGGAGTCTTAGTTTGCCTGCAGTTCCTTTTCCTGACTTGTCTCTCATGTCACAGTTACCATGAGGACAGAATAACACACCACATGGGGAAAAAAACTTTTAGATAAGGATGGTAATTAACATCATAAAACTATAGAAACCATCATATGCTCCAGAGATTTCCTGTCATTCTTTCTTTCCTCCCATTGCGCTTTTGAAGTGGTATATTTTGTTGACTGTTAGTAAAAATTAGTGGGGTGGTCCTTCATTTCATTATTTATATACCTGTTAGAATGACAGGTCTGAGTTGATAACTGAGTGCTTGTAAATAAATAAGGCTACTAAGAGATCATCAATTGTTTGCCCACATATCTTTTTTTCTCCTAGAACTGATAGCAGTTTTACCCAACTACAGCAAAGAAAAGCATATGACATGCTTTTTAAAAATGTAGTTTAACCAATTGAAATGAGGCAATGGACACCATTCAGACAAGGAAATACAAGATAGTCCACATGCACTTTTCACAATACCAAATCCCATTGAAAATCCTGGATTTTTCTGAAGAGTATAACTATTCATAGACTTGCAGGATTAGGCTGCAAGATCTCACTACCACAACTTAAGTGAGAGCAGGTCCAGCTGAATCCTGAAACCAATCTAGACACATAGATTATGATTGTGCTGCATGAAACACTGTTATCAAAAGGTGCAGCAGCTCTGGATTCAGCTTTCTGTCTTTTCTAGTAACATACAAAGCTTCTGTTGTTCAGTTTAATTCAGCATTATCTGTACTGACTGCACCAGTTATCTATACACGTTATGCCAAACAACTGAATATTTTGTATTCTCACTACTGTACCTGAAATTTCATCCCAAGTTAAGAAAAGCAGGGAATAAGTCTGCCCTCACCAGGATCCAGGCGTAGTTTGTGAGAGCTAAATCTGTAACATGAGATCATAATCCCTCTGCCCTACTTACTACCTCCAATTTAATCTCTAACCTCAGCA